AAAAAAAAAAACTGCCTAAGAATGTAGTGATATTTCACTAGGCAAGTATTAACACAAAATGTGCTTAGGAGTTTAGCACAGAATGAAACAATAAACATCGTACCCTTCCCTAATCTGTTCAGTTTGTCCCTTGAAGACAAAATCACATTCTTATGGGACTGGTTCTCACTCCAAGACTCAATCATTCATTTATGAAGAATTGTATGGGCCTTATATTAATTTACTCCTTCTGGGAAAGACCACTGGCTCAAGAGAAGACTCCAGACTTCACTGTCACCGGAAATGGCCATGTCACTTGCTGAGCTGAGACGCATCAATCTCCTCTCATTTTGTACACAGCACACAAAAGTCGACCTGAAAGCCTGGTCTGCCCTGCATTCTTAAAAAAGTGCTCAGAGTCACGATCTACAGAGACAATGAGCACAGTGAGTCACAAGGAGAACGCAGAAGTGGCCATGGTTTAAGATCTACACAATGGCTTAGACAGAGTGCATGAGGGTGAAACCTCTCTGGTTCTGTTTTGTTCTTCTCATTTTATTTTGTTTGTTTCATTTATGGGATTGTCTTCATATCCTTTTCTTAGAATCTACTTTGACTTTTCTTGCTATTAAAAATCCAAGTTGGGTACTCTGGGTCTTGATTATTTATTTGAAAAAATCAACAAAAAATGAAAAAGTTAATGTCTAATCGCACCATTTAGAACATGGGCCTATACCGCCAATGTTTTCTAAAGGAAGACTTTATTTTTCTTGTGATTACTCTCCTGGCTGTTTAGTTTTTCTCTTGTCCACAAACTCTCATGTATAGGATTCAGAATGAGTACAGGCTTGGAGGATTGCGATGGCATCCTGGGAGCCACTTGATGGGATCCCACAAAGGTGCCCATAGAGTAAGAAGAGGGGACATGGGTCACAGGAGTCCGAGACAGCCACTAACACCCACCTCCTCTGAAAAGCCTGAAATGGCCAACCAGGGAATCCACCCAGCTTCTCCAGAGTCTCCTCTCTGTGGCAGAGAACAGAGACCATTTCTTGCAATCTTATCATTATGGATTTCAAGGATACAACTTAGTATTTAACTACCTTAACCCAACTAGAGTTCTAACCTTGAGACAGTTACATTTTGAAGACAAAATTATTGCTCACAGTCCTCCTGGAAGAGTGTGGCAGGTGGATGAAATTTCCTACTCACATTAAGTCATGATTCATTTTTAAATGAACTCTTCAGAAATTGAATGCAGCCATCAGAGACCCTGGGAGCCTGGGATTTTCCAGGCAGACATAGACAGCAGGTAGGCAAATGGATGGAAAAGATGACTATGAAGGGTCTCAGGACTTCCTGTCATCCAGAGTTTCTCCAGCAGGCCTCACCTTCTCCTCCTCCACCAGCCACTGCCCAGATTCTCTGTGCCAGCATGTCACCAAATTGGGCGTGACGTAAGAGCCACCAGGTGTCCATGCTAACTCCTGCCATCCTCATGGAGCTGAGAAATGGGTTTTTCTTACTCTCTAGCTGGAGTTTGCTTAGTTTGTCTTCAAGGGGAGGTCATCCTGCAACTATGACCTGGAAAAAATACATGACCTCTCCCCAGTAGCCGGAATCCCACTCCACAAGACTTCTAGAGGTGGACAGAATGCCTAGGTGGCTTGGAAGTGCTGACTGTGGAGTGCCCCAGTTGGTGAGGAGTATAGGAGTCCAAAGTACATGGCGACACTTAGAATTATGTCATCCAGGAAGTCGAATGCGGTGGAAAGCTACAGGGGAGAAATTCACCAATGCATCTGGTTGCTTCAAAAAGAGACTTCCCCTCAAGTCTTAACAGTTCCTCACCTCATGCAAATGACTGTGAGGAGGGTAGGACAAAACCCACCCAAACTTGATAAGACCTTTCAAAAATGGTTGGGAAGTCATTTAATCTTATTTAGAACCATTAAAGTTTCACATGCTTAGTTAATTTTTATTAATTGGAAGGAGTATAAAGAGTCTACTGCAAGCTCTCCCCTTGCCCCCGCCAAGAGCTGGGTTCCTACAGCTTTTTTTTTGTTTAAAATAAGGAAGTCTTTTTCCCCAAGTATCTTAAAGATGCTGAGAAAAAATCAGAAATAAACATCTACCTGTGCGTAAGCAAAGTTCATAGGACCCAGGGGTGGAAAGGTAATGGTTCTCATACCACTTATGCTGCAAGCTCAGTGGTACCCAACACCAACTGGCCTCCCCAAAGCAGGACGAACCATGGCCTCTGAGCTCCCCCTCAGTGTTTACATTCTCATCCAATTCCCAGACAGACATTCTCCTGTGGAATACCCTTGCTACCCTGAATGCCTTCAACTTTGTAGCACAAAGCGAACACACATAGGTATCCAGTTCTGAATTTAAAAGAGAAACATCTGCTATCTGCTAACAGGTGAAAAGAGAAGAAGCACAACAACAAGAAGGGGTTTCTCAGACTCGCTCCCGCTCCCGGTGCATCCCAGGAGACTCTAGACACAGAGTGTCAGTAGTCCCTCATGCCAGAGGAGAGGCTAGCATGCTGGATACTAAGAGACACCATTATCACGCTATTCTCCCCTACACAGTTCAACCACTGGCCCAAGCCACCTCAGTGAGGTTTAAAAGTCGTCTCCCAAGTTCACAAGACATGAGACACCCGCCCTATTTCTGTGAAAAGGGGGAGAACATTAACATAGCTGAGAAGCATCTAGAAACCTGTCAGAGTGGTTGAGGTCTAAGGTCCTACCTCAGATATCCAGGTAATTCAGAAGAGGCTGCTTGCTGTCACCAGTCAGGGCTGGTGAGGGTGTGGCCTTTGTGCCCCAGAAATGCACCAGAAGCTTGTGTGGAGGGAATCCCCATTCTTCCTCCTCTGGCTCTAGAGCTGTCTGTTTGGAAGTAGGGAAGAGCACATCCAGGTAGGCCTGGGGACAGGATTGTCTACCATAAAATTCCGACTAGAGACCTGATTGATAGTCCACCTCTCTTCTGGAAAGCTCTCACCAAAAAGGTAACAACAGTGACTCCAATCCTGCTTTCTCCCTGCTAGTGCAGGATAGGAGAAGCAGTCACAGGGCAACCTAGGGAAGGCTGTTCTCCTAGAAGCCAGAATATGAGAAGTTCAGGCAGGGAGAACCTGGAAGCTGTCCACAGTCCCACACCAGCACAATGCGTCCCCACCAGGCTCGAAAGAATCTGAAGAGAGGCAGGACTCTCAACCAAAAGTGTCCCAGGAGATGGGGTGAGGAGGGCTATGCACCTCCTCTCGCAGATGTGGTGCTATGTTCCCCACCCAGGAAGAGAGGAGGAGTTTGGCTACAGAGAGGGGACTTCCTTTCTTTGCAGGGGGTACGCTAGGCCCCTTCCCACAAGTGGTCTTGAAGGCCAGAAGGCTGGGGTGGGAAGTATTCCTGCAACCACCAAGCCACCAGAAAAAAACCGGGGCGATTTATCTGTGGGTTGCAAAGTGGGTAGACCCACCTCTAATCCCCGACAGACACCAGGGTGAGAAGCTGGGTCTCCCTTCACAGGAGAAGCTGTGCACACCCCCTTCCACTGCGACTCTGCACACACCCTCCAGTGCTAAGCTAAGGATCTTTCCCAGCCCCGCTCTGGGCTCCCCCACTCCCTTCTTTGCTCCGCCCAGGTGCAAACCTTGAAGCAGCTCGGAAAAGGTGGCTCCGGGTGCAGCCTTCGCCCTGCATTCTCCTCTGGAGGGTTGGGACCTCAGGCTACCTGCTGAGCGCTGGGGACTCCCCTTTGCTTTCCACACGTATACCCCTAGGAATCAGGCCAGGAGTCCCCTTCCCCTTCTGGGACGTAGAGACATCCTTGACACCCTAGTGCTGTCAGAGACGGTGGGCGTAGATCTACCGACCCGATTGCAAAGATGAAGAGGTGTAGAAGCAAGCGGGTGCAAGAGAGGAAAGGGGCTGTGGTCCTCTTGGAGCCAGGAACAGCGTCCTCGGTCCATGATCTGAACATTCAGTCACCGCCCAAGATGCCAACGCATTCAGAATGTAGCCGAGAGGTTTGTTTGTTCCTGGGGAGGGAGCTCTTTCTACCCTATTCTACCCTAGGCAGAAGCAGCCTGCCTTCCTAAATACCCAGGGGCAGGAATTCCAGGGGCTGCTTCTCACCACGGGACCTCCCAGGTACCTAGCCCCTCCCCCTGTATTTACACATCCAGGCTGGCGGCCCCCCTCCCGCCCCCATCGGACTTCAATCTCTTCTAAATCCTCTTCAGTGACCACACTGGGCTACCCCTTCGCCCACGTTGACCGAGTCTTCCGTCCCCTCACCCTTGGACAGATCTCACCCTCTGGCTCCCTCCTGTATCCTCAAAAGAGACCCTTTCCTCCCAGAATCACTTACTTCACCCACCCAGAACCTCGCTTGCATTTCCCAAGGCACCAAACCGTAACCGAAAGCCACTCCGAGGATTTTATTATCGAGTTCCGGGTGGCCTTCTTGAGTTGTCTGACCCCCCACTGCTCTGGATGGAGACCCCCCGGGTGGCAGAAACCTTCCCTTAAAGTCCCACCTCTCCTGGTTCTCCTTCTCTGCCCCTACCCAGATGTGACAAGCAGGAGAAGCACTACTAGATCCCCCAAGCCCTCGCCTCTGGAACCGGAGCTGCAGGGAGCGAAAAGTCGAACTGCAAGAACACAGTGAGAGAAATGGGCAAATGCGTTAAGAAAAGGGGAACTGGGGGAAGGGCGCACACGAGAAATGATCGGGCACCGCACCAGGTGAGAATCATACAGGGAGGGTCACAAAAGTTTGCAGACTACTGCATGGCACCTGGTTGCACAAGAGCGAAAAGGGTCGACTCCTCGTATTCCAGGCAGAGTCTCTCCAAAGATCTGTGTCAAACGGACCCGGGGATTTGGACTGACAGGACTCAGAACTGCGGTGACCATTCTCTGCTTTCCAGAGAGATGGCCTAGACAACCTGACTGGGAGCTGATCCCGCGCTCTGCGTAAAGCAACAGGCGGCTGCACCTTACCTTGCGCCAGTCCTGGGTTGGGATGGCTGCTCCATCCTCGTGGCGCAGGGAGGAGGCGTTTGGTGCGTATGCCTAGGGGTGTGCGGGCTGCCAGGGCTGCAGCGGCCGCCACCTCCAGCAGGCTGCAAACTGGGCTTCCCACCCCGACCCGGCC